TTTTTGTGTGTGTGTGTGTGTTTTTCCCCATTTTCCTTCATCTTCAGCTTATTGCCAATTCTTTGTATCAGGATTATTTTATTTTATTCCAGGACACTAAATCACAAATTCATAATAGTGCTCAAAAAGATTAGGCACTCCAGAGATGGAACTGTTGAGAACTGGTAGATCTGCACATTGTTTTTCCTAACCCGTGGGTGTTTATAAACATCCAAGTTTCAATTTTAAAAAATCCAGGGCAATAGGTTAAGAAAACAGTCATTGCCTCAGATTAACTGATGTGCAACCAATAACAGTGCGTCGAATAATGTGACATTGAGGCCCTGTTTCATTTGTTATTCTGGTATAAGAGACCACGTTGTGTAGCATTATGGTCATAATGACTGTTCATTCAATTACTCTGGTGCATGGCATGTGAGCAGTATGTAGATCTGAGCATGCTGGCCTGCTCTTCCTGGGAATGAAGTTCCGATGGTAGTCTGAGTGACAAACATCTCAGAGCTTGCTCACATTCCTCTGTGGAAGAGTCACTTCTGAGAGAAAGAGGTGCGGCCTCGTGGTCTGGGAACAGGACTGTCAGCCAGGAACACGGAGTTCTCATCCTGGAACTGGTTCTGTTTTCTTTAGGGATCAGGCCATGCTAATGAATCTTTCTAGGACTCAGTTTACCCAGCTTAAAAACTGGTTAGAAAAATGTAATTAACTGGGGTATATTGAATATTAATGAGTGAGTGGATATCTGTTAAGTGATTTGCAATGAAAAGTGATATGAATATGTCAGAACATATTATTTTCATAAACTAAAAAGTTTTATAAACTAACTATAAAAGAACAGTTTTGTGATTTGAAAAAAATTACCCCAAAATAAGAACATTTCATTTTAATGTTTGAATAGTTTATTTTTTCTAAAAAAAATATTTTATCCTATTTTTCTTTACGTTAACATGCTAAGTATTCTATGTGATATAAGTAATTAAGTTCATGATTAGCTTCCACTTAAACATACAGAGTTAATCTCTTTGTTGTTTATAGTAAGGGGAAATTTTTTTTCAAGTTCCATGCACTAGAAGAATATAGATATTATTAACCTTAATGTTTTAGAGGAAAAAAAAATAGGATCAAAGAAATATACAGTTAATCTAGAGCTTGAGTAGGGGGGGATATAATGAACTACCTGTTTTAAAATGGTAAAGACTTCCAAGAATAAGATTCAAGTTCCAGAAAGAGAAAATTGTGCATAAGTGTCTAAACTTATGGGGGTGAGGGGGTATAGGAGTGGGGAGACCTAATGATTATATTCTATATCTGAAAGAATAAAGTTAAAAAAAACAACTTCAAATGCAAAATGTCCCAGTTTGGTGTCTCAGATGGTCAGCACTCCCCTACAACAAATCCAGCCTCTCAAAATTAATCAGCTTTATGTGTGAGATTTTTAAAAAGCCCAAAACTTATAAAAAAATATATATGTTGTAATTTTTTACACTAGGAAGCTTTAAATCTATCTTTCTCCTCTTTAAAAAAAATGAAAACTATAACAATAGATTTCATTTCTATGTCTAGGACATCAAACTTGGCTCTGAATATGTTTGTCAAATCTCATTAATTACAGTATTGGTCCCACGAGATATAGTTGCTGATGCAAAGAACATTCTTCGTATTCAAAATAATCTGAACAAGGGCAAAGAAGCATTTTATTTACCTGTGTAAACATTAAGAAGAAAATAAAAGAGACTGTTCAGGTAGCTGCTGAGATGTTTTAATGGTAATTGATTTGATTACTATAAAGCTCTGAGGTTACCACATATAGGGATAGTCATGTTTTCACTCTGTTTACTTGCTGGATGGTAACATTCTTGTAAAGGTAATCGACATTACCTTGGCAAGCTCTGAACTAAGACCTTTTAGCATTTTATTCTTTACAGACACTAAGACCAACTTGTTCTGAATTCCATAAGCCACTGTGCAGATCTACAATTTATTTTTAAAATATCAGAAAATATGCCATTACACAAAGGACTCTTCCATGTAACAAATCTGGGTGAAATACAATCAAATGAATAAATTACAGCAGCAGACAGCAAGCAGCCTGTGTTATTTTCTTTCATTTTCCTTTCTCTTTAGGAAAGAGCAAAATAAACCATGGCTATTTGTGGTCTTGTGCTATAGGAACACATGTGGTGATGCATTTTTGTGCTATTAACAAATTTGTTGGCTCAATGAGTAGAAAGTAAAGTCCATTGAAAAGATGGCTTAATGCCTCACATGGCATTATATGTATAGCGCAACCTAAAAATCTTGTTTTGAGATCTGATAGAGCCGGTGGGCTGCCTTTAGGTGGATACTGAAGAGCAGAGTGAGGCAGCCCTGGTTACATACGACATACAGATGCGTGGGCTTTTCCCAGAGGTTTCTGATTTAGTTAGCCTGATTTATTCTAGTGAGGTTTCAGATCTTATATTTAAAAACAAACAAAAAAATAACAACATCTTCCTAAAGCAATTCTAATGTGCCACAACTGAGAATCCTGGTTAGAGAATTCCTACATTGGTGCAACGATAATAACTAATTTGTTTTTAGATAACAGCACAAAGCCCATTGTTTTGTTTTGTTTTTTATTGATTTTTTTTTTTTTAAGAGAAAGGAAAGGAGAGGGAGAGATAGAAACATTTATGAGAGAGAAACATCATCCATTGGCTGCCTCCTGCATGCCCCCTACTGGGGAATGAGCCCAAAACCTGGGCATGTAACCTGATTGGCTGGAATCAAATGGTGACTTCTTGGTTCCTAGGTAGAAGTTCAAACCCTGAGACACAGGGGCTGGGCTCTTGGTTTTTAATGGAAACCTTACCTTATTCCAGGTGCGGGCAGGAGCATGGATCAACAGCTGCCAGGAACTCCCTCCTGGAGAGCATTCCCTGAGCATCACCCTAAGGGAATATTCTATGGGTGATGGGGCCCTGAATAATAATAATTTTCTGGACTGAAGCCAATGGAAACAGATAACTGAACAACAAATTACATAATGCCAACCTGAAGGCAGAGTCTGGAAACAGTGGAAGCCTTATCAACATTTGAGCATTTTAAAGTGATGGTTTAAAAAGAGAGGTTTCCTGGCTCAGCATCACTCCTAGTTCTTCAGAGACTGTGAATGCCATGTCTCTACTACCAAGTCACTGTAGATCATTAGAAACAGAAAGGAGACTTTTAGTAAAAAATGGCAAATTACTTCTCTTGGAAAATTAATCAACTTAAGCTATTGGGATTTCTCCGCCCCCACCCCTGCTTTCTTTATCTCTACTTCTATTGTCAGAATTTTTGTCCTTAAAAATTTTTTTTAATTTATTTCAGAGAGGAAGGAAGTGGGGGAGAAGGAAACATGGATGAGAATCACTGAGTGATTGGTTGCCTCCTACATGCCCCACACTGGAGATGGAGCCTGCAATCTGGGCATGTGCCCTGACCAGGAATTGAACTATGACCTCCTGGTTCATAGGTTGACACTTCACCACAGAGCCATACCCGCTGGGATGAATTTTTGTTCTTTTAATAAAAGCATTTATATTTTTCTTTTATCTTTTTATTATAATGTTAGTCCTCTATTGTTTTGGTCATCTTCTTTTGCTATCATATTCTATAGCTTCTTCATTTAATGCTGTTTCTTTTCTTCTTTCTTATCTTTTGTGTGTTTTTTTTTTAACTGACAAAGACATCAATGTCACAAATCAGTAGCAGAGACTAAAACTCACAGCATACAGTTCTTCCCCACCTCCCAACTTCTTCATAGTTTTCTACTAGGGTGTGTCTTCAGATACTGAGACCTGTTAGAGCAATCAGAAATGACACTTTCTTTGGAAATTATCAAGGAAGGAAATACTTTACCTGTTCCAATTTTTTTTTCATTTTCCTTAATACCGTATAACAGGGTCCTTCTTCATTTCCACCCCATTTTTGATATGTTTGGTTGCCAATCCCTTTGTTGATTCTCTCTCATTTTTTACTAGCTGCCCTTCCTTAACCCTCTGTTGACGTTTTATTCTTATAACTTGATGTCAATGCCCATTTCTCTCCATTCCACCCATCTCATCTTCAATATGAATTTTTATGACCCTCCTACTAAAAGCTTAAGGCTGTATGTGAGGAATAGAAAGGTACATCTTTTCCCATTTGAATCTGTTTTGTCTCCCCTCCCACAGCTATTTCATCTTTTTCTGATGTTTCCCTCCTGTCCCATCCCCACCTGCACCCCTCTTCCCTGTCACTCCCTGTTTGATGCCCATCTATTCTTTCTAACTCCACTTGCACTCTGATTTTACATCCAAGGAACTCCACAACATACAATTACGGAGTTCTTTGGGGAACCAGGTTGTGTTTCAGAAACTTTTGCACATTTCCTGAAGCGGGATGGGATTAGGGGCTTGGATTCAGAAATAATCCTCAGCCAGCCAGCCTTTCAACTCCGGCACAGCTCTTGGAGCGAGACGGGGGTCCATTCTGATGGACAAGGACAGGATGGCTTTAAAGGCCCTTCGATGGCCCTTCCCACTCCAGAGATCGGGATGAGTAGACAACACCCATCGAGGTTGGAAAACCAGGCCAGATGGGGATGACTGGGGCCTTTTCCTGCAGTAGACCTGGCAGGGGAGCTGGTGCATGGTGCACCCCAGGGGCTCTGGGTCTGCAGGGGCAGTGGAACAAGAGGCCTGAGGAGCCACCTGGCCCTCTGTGGAAGCCAGCCTCACCTCTAAGGAGAGGAGGCAGGCCCGCCCGAGGCCGGGGGCTCCCTGGGGGCGCAGCCGGGCGCGGTCCCAGGAGCCAGGCGACGCCACTGCAGCGGCGCCAATGACCCCGGGCGCAGTCGCTCCCCAGGAGGGTAAGCCAGCCGCTCCGGGTCGCTCCGCCAGAAGGTCGAGGGAGCAGCGCGTGCATCCCTCGCCAGCTGGCCCTCGGGGAGCGGGGCGGGGGCTGCACCCCGGGGAGGAGGTGGAGGGCGGCAGAGATCCATGCTGGGTACCGGCGCCCGGTCATCCGCGGGAGAGAGGCTGGCAAAGGAGGGAGGGGGGGGGGGGAGGAAGCGCCCCCCAAGGGCGGCTGGGGCCGAAGGTCTGCCGGTGTACTCGGCCGGCGCCCCGAAGTCTGGGGCCGCCGAGGCTGCAGCTCCGCCGCCGGCTCCGGCCAGAAAGTCCAGGCCGCACTTTCCCCTCCTCCCGGCGCCTTCTCTCCAGTGAGGAGCCGGGCGCGGGCGGCGCGGCGGGAGGGGCGGCGGCGGAGGGAACAGCCAGTTGTTTAAAATCCTTCTAGAGCAGTTTCTAATTCCCCGCTTGCGCCGGGGTTCGGCGGGGGGAGGGGGGGAAGGAGAGCGGGAGGAGGGAGGCGGTGGAGGGGGGAGGAGGGAAGGAGGGAGGTTGGGAGGGAGGCAGGGAGGGAGGGAGGGAGGGGAGGAGGGAGGAGACTGCCTCTCTGGCTGTAGCCGCCGCCGCGCGCCGGGGAAGGCCGGAGGGAGGAGGAGGCCTGTCAGTCTCGCGCGTTGCCCGGGCGAAGGGGGCGGGGCCCTGGCGCGGGGCGGCCAATGGCGGGGGTGGCTGCGTGGGTCGCCATGGGGACGGGGCTGTTCCCGAGGAGGCTGTGATGGGTTGACAGGTGCGTGACAGTGGGAGCTGCTCTCGGCACAAGCATGTACGGCAAAGGCAAGAGTAACAGCAGCGCCGTCCCGTCCGACAGCCAGGCCCGGGAGAAGTGAGTGTCCCCGCCGCTCGCCCACCGCCGCCGGCGCACACGCGCGCGCGCGCGCACACACACACACACACACACACACACACGCACACACTCTCCCGGAGACCTACCGACACCCGGACCCTCTCCGCGGCCGGGGGAGAGCCGGGGCGGGCGGGCAGCGGGAGGAGGGCGCGATCCGGGGGCCCGCGGCGCAGGGGGCGGCTGTCCCCCACGAGGTGCTCTCCCTCCTGGTGGGAGGGGCGGCGGCCGCGGGGGGCTGCGGGGCGGGCGGGCGGGTGTTGTCGGGGGGCGGCGGCAGTGCCGGCGGGGAGGATGGAAACTTGTTTGGGGGATGGAGGGGAATAAGCCGAGGGCTCCCCTCCTTCCAAAGTAACTTTAGAACTGGGGTCCGGGGCCGCCGCCGCGATCCGAAGAGCTGCCGGGGGTCGCGGGGGACGGCGGGAGCGGGCAGCCGCTGGGAGCGGGGCGCGGGGCGGGGATCGCGGGGGTTCGGGGGGACGGGCTGGGGTCGGGCGGACGGAGCGAGGGGCACCGACCGCCGCGGGGGGCGCGGGCGCCGGGGTTCGGGGCTGGGAGTGCCGGGCGGGCGGGCGAGCCGAGGGCGGCGGTGCCTGGCGGGCGGCGGGCGGAAGCCGGGCGCGGGGCGGCCGGGCAGGGCCCCGCGGGGCGCGGAGACGCTCGGGGCGCAGAGGGCGTGTGCGGTGCGGGTTGTGCGGGGGGCGTGGGGGCTCTCCCGGCCCCGGGAGGGGGCACGCCGCCGCGCTCGCAGCAGCCGCCGCACCTCCCGGAGCCGGGGCGGGGGGCTCGGGGGGCGCCGGGGTGAAGTTTGGGAGTCCGCGTTCCCGGGGAGGAAAAGTGTGCCGGCGAGGAGCGGGATCCGCTGGAGGAGGCTTGGCTTTGCTGCCTCTCGCAGCCCAGTTGACTCCACGGGCGGCTGCGGGCGAACTTTTTTTGGGGGAAGACTTGCAGCTTTGCAGTGATCGGGGGACCGCGGTGGCCCGGGGGGCGCGGAGGGGGCGCTGTGTGAGCTGCTGCGGCCCCCGGCGCGCGCGGGGCTGTCCGCGGTGGGAAGGGGGCGCCGGCCCGAAAAGGGGTTTTGGGGGAGGGAGCAGAGCAGACGTGGGAAGGAGTTGTTTAGCGGGGTGGTTAGGCGCAGACACAGGTGTTAACTTCGGGGGGGGGGGGCGGGGAGCCCGGAGGAGGCTGGCGAGAAAAGCGCCCCTTCTCCGGGGATGCCGCCGGCAAGGCACACTGCCACGCAGGGCTGGCGGCCGCCGGTCTCCTGGACTGGTAACGGTGGTTTGGTTGTTGGCTGCAAAATGAGAGCCAACAGTGACTGTGACCACTGAGCGAGAGAGAACCCCTGTGTGTGTGTGTGTGCAGCAGATCCATGGTTCCTGGTAACCACGTCCCCTGGGAGGGTGAGGCTTACCTTGTACTGGAAGGTGCTCCCTCCCTTCCTTCCCCACGGGGGTCCGGACTGGGGGGGGGGGGAGTCTGAGACCATCTCCCCAAAGCTACTATGTTGATTACCTTGCGCACGGAAATAGCTGCATAAATAAAAAGCCAAGGCGCAGGTTTCCCTGTTTGCTTTAGGCAGTGAAGACAGCCTTCCTCCTGAAAGTTTTTCTTGTGCCCTAAGGATGGGAACATTTCCTAATCCCCGTGTTGGCAGCAGCACACACAATCCCCATAGGATTTAGGGGTGGCAGGCCTGGATGTAGCAAAAACAACAAAACAAAAAATTAACGCGGAGATGCTGGTTTTTTTGGTGGTGGTTGTTTGTTTTCCCCAAAGATATTTTCTGAGGAGGTACGTTCAGGATCTCATGGCTGTAACAAGGAATGTGTAACCAGACAGCATCAGAGCCTGGTTTGGAAAGAAGCAGTTACTGGAATCAAAGTTTTGAAACAGCCTCATGTGTGTGCATTAATCATTGGGTTGTAATATGTCTGATACAATAAAAGCATTTTCGAGGAGGATGTTTAAATGATCTCAGAGCATATGGGATTGAAGCAATTGAAATATGTTGCTGTAGAATCTTATTTATTTTGAGGGTGGTTGAATTTGAGGATAAAAGTGATTTTGAATTTTAGTTGGATTCCCGGGAATGGCTAAATTTAATCTGTATCATGATAACTTTTTAGATGGTTAAAAAAAAATTAGTATCTGAGATACTTAATGAGGAAGTTGGACCTGGTGTGTCTGGTCCTTTGTAGTTCTCATTCTGTGATTCTTTCATGAAAACAAATCATTGCCACTTTTGCTGTTAGAGCTACCAAACTGAATACCAACCAACATCTCTTTCTTGTAAGCAAAGTAGTGGAAGTTCTGCTAGATGGTGCTATTAGATTTAAATATCTGTCTTCCATTCATTGTAATTGGCATCAGGAACCTAGACTGGCTCTCCTTCGGAACTAAATATAGGTGAAGAGGCCACTTTTGGAACATTGACAATGGCTGTTCTGAGTTAATTATTGCATTAATTTCTAGGTGAGTATTGTTGAATCTAAGACAACTGCCGAGGTAGATTTTATTTTACAGAATAAACTAATTTTCATTTTGGTGGGAGAGTTGATCTGATTGCTCAGTTCCCCAGTCATGTTTACTTGGGACATTAATGGCGCTATTCTGCAACAATGTACTAACTTCTGAAGATAGGAATCTGGAGTTGTCTTTGAAATGGATGCCACCAGATTTAAAACAACAACAACAACAACAACAAACGTTTAAATATATTTTCTATTGATTTCAGAGAGGAAGGGTGTGGAGAAAGAGATAAAAACATCTATTGGCCCTCTTCAGCAACCTCCTACTTGGGATAGAGCCCACAACTTGGGCATGTACCCTGACTGGGATTGAACTGTGACCTCCTGGTTTATAGGTCTGTGCTCAACCACTGAGCTATGCTGGCTGGGCTAGACAAACTTTTTTTAAAGTGGCAGATTTAAAAGGTACCTGAGCAAAAAAAAAAAATACTCTTTTAGTAAGCAAATTAGAATCGTTCTGATCTTAAAATTCACAGAAGTAATTTGTTTTTCAGTAATAAATATGTAAATATCTTGCTTTTATAAAAACATTCTGAAAAAGGAGTCATTATGAATAGTGGTACGCACACAAACTAAATATATTAGTTTTATAATCTATTAAGAAATGTGTTTTCTAACAAGAGGTCAGATCTTGTCAGCACTTGTCAGATCTACCAAACGAAACACCAAGTAACAAGGTAGCTGACAAGTGCTTACCTGTGTTATTATGTCTTTGCTTTCTCTTTCATTAAGAAGTCACCATTAGAATATTTGAAATTAAGTTGTAGGTTTTACATATTTTTTAGTCATTTTAGAATATAGTTCTGAACATAAAAATGGCATAGGGAATATAGTCAGTAATACCATAATAACTATGTATGGTAGGTAACAGGTGATTCCTAGACTTATGGAGGGATCACTGCATAAGATATATAAATACCTAATTACTATGTTGTACACATGAAACTAATATAATATTGTAAGGCAACTATAATTAGAAAATAATTTAAAAAATGGCCAGTCAAGTTAATGACTTATTTTATTGTTTTAAAAACCAGACAGATCAAGTCTATACAAAGATTTGGATTAGGCTTAATTATAGAGGGAATGATTGCAAATTTTTGGAGGGAGGTGGGATGTTTGTGTAGAAATTTAAATTCTGATCTTGTAAGGTTATTTCTCCCTTTAGCAGGCTTTTTTTTTTTTTCTTTTCCATAGACAGAGTTATAATTAAGTAATTATATAATTGGTTTGTTTAATGTCTAGTCTCCTCTAAAATGTAAGTTTCTTGAGGGCAAATTTCTTCTCTGAGGTTCCTTGATATTTAGGATAGTGCCTTTATACATAATAGCACCAAATAAATAATTGAATAAATGAAGATAGTAGACTCGAAGAATTTTTTACAATGTGGAAAAAATATTTTGACCTCCAAAATGACCTCCAAAATAAGGACTTTAAAAGTTTTAGTTTCACATTCAGTAGCTTAATTGTGTTTCAAAAATAGCCAATAAAGGCAAAACAATAATTATTACTTGCTATTCTACATGACACAGCTGCTGTGGTCAGCATTTTATGTATATTTTCTCCAATTCTCCCATTTAAGAAAGAAGATAGTGATTTTTTTTTTTATCCATTAAAGAAAAAAGAAAAGTAACTTGCTCTTTACCTGGGTTTCTAACAAAGATTTCTTTAATTTTAGAATCTGTGGTTGAAACTGAAAGATATTCTTTTTCTGTTTACCAGATTGGCTTCCTGATCTAGGGTAAGATGCTATAAATTTAGGGAACAGCATTACATAATCAGGTATAAGAGATTTTAAAGACTTGATCAGATGTGCAGACTTAACCATTCCTTAACCCTTCATTTTGATGGGTGGCAGATGTATGTGTGGTTTGGGAAGGCACAGAATTTTTAGGGGTGAAATTGGAAGCCTAGATAGTGAAGACTTTTTGTCTATTCAGATTTTTTTCTTCTAGGATAATTTCAGAGCAAGGGAGGATATTTCCTCCAAAATGCTAAGCACCTTTTATCTAACGTGTCATCTTGGTTGTGAGAGTTTTTCTTTGGATTGCTCTTTTTTATTATTTTAGAAATATCACCTCCACCACCACCACCACCCCTTTTCCCCCCTGGCCTCAATGAGTTTTTGAAGGAACAAACCTAAAGAAAAGAAAACATGTAAGATGTTAAGAGTTAAACTCTAGCATACAATTTGGGGCTGGCAGTGGAATACATAGATTGCAGTTTATTAACATTTCACCCCAATAGTTTAGAGTTGAAAGTAAAATTTGGAGAAATATATTTTGAATTTAGAATCTTCTTTCTTCCATAGAGATCATAACTGTTATGTTAATGTTGGTACATAGCATTGAGGATGAATGTACTAGATTTAAGAGATATGATGCTGGAAATATATAATTTAAAAACATGTATTGAAGATAATTATAATTTTATTGTGGAATACATTGGTAT